AGGGAACAGGATACTTTTAAATAATATGGGAATTGTGGTGATGCTGCAACTGGAGGCCAGAAAAAAATACAGGAATTACCTGTCTTTTATACAGAACACTTGGTCTTTAATTTATAAAGACTCAGGAATCCTCAGAGACGAGTCAAAGTCAATTTGTTCTAATCAGTAAAGAAAATTTAAAAATGATTTTAGTTTCAATTTAGAATTAAGTTTCCTTTTTTTCTTCAATTTGAGCTAGTCGGCACACGGGGTGTGTATGCCCCCCCCCCCCACCCCCCCTTTTCCATTTTTTATTATAAAATATAAAAAAAATATTCTGAGTCCAAAACACACAAGTTTTTTAAAATAAATTTTTAAAATATATTTCATTAAAATTCATTTCATTTAACAATAACTGAAATAATATTTCTCTCCGAGTTATTTTTTTTTAAATCACGTTTGTTTGGCATGCGTGCAACAAGTGTGCTAATCAACAAATTTGGAATCAAAATAATTAAAGAATTATGTTCTTACCACATGCTTTCTGTATTACAGTCCTTCCTTTCGATGAATATAATAGTTAACACTCCATTAAAAAAATGTTTATAGAATCTAGATCTATCGACAATCTTCTGACAATGCAATGCACATCTCTATTGAAAATTTGGCGCTCGCATAACTGCTTAACTAATCAGTAATGATGATATAAATCAGCTACCAGAAGCGTCCAATCAAACGACGTTTTCTAAAAACGATTGAGGTTGCGATTCAAATCATACCCGTAATATTAATTGGCCGCCAATGTATTCTTGTTTGGGGTACCTTGATAAAAAATGGTAAATAAATAGGCCTAGTTAATCGTGGACTGGAACTATTAAGTAAAGTTTTACTTTTTTTATTATATTTATGCCAACGTTTCTACAAACTTTAAAAAAATCTTTGAATAAAAAGGGTGTGAAAAATTATTGATACGAATTGCCTCGCCACCCGCTAAAAAGATGGCGGCCTTTTTGTTTTTTCGGTGGGCGATAGAAGTTTGTAAACTTGAGAATTTACAATATAGACTGCATTGGAGGTTATATTTTAAATGTACACCATCCAAACAACATCCACAGAAAGACCAGCACTGTTCCGCCTGCATTCATCAGCTCACAACACGAGTAAGTTTTCATCTGTTTTATACATGTTACAATCGGGGGATGGATATCGTGTGCACAACCTGCAAGCTGCAAGGTTGTTGTTTCATATGTTCTTAAATTAATTATATTTTTATGGCCCTATTTATTGTTTGGTTTCTTCGAATTTCAAAATGAGATTGGCAAGGCATTTGCTTTTTTCTCAAGAATGAAACAAGAGGGAGATAAAATACGATTTAAAATTTAATGTATACAGTGTTGTTAGTTGACAGAGTTTGACACAATCCGTGTCCTCACAGATTACTTAGTAGGCAAAAAGTACCGATATTATGTGGAAATATTTTTATAAAGTATTTAAACTTAATATTTTTTTTAATTATCTAGCTTATTGAATTCATGGAAAACAATTGTGTTTCTATTTATACATCAAAATTATTCACATAAATTGAAACTTAAGTCATCACAGGCATACTAGACGTATAGATTACCTACTTTGAAACTATGCAGATAGTTGCTGAATGTTTTGTTTGTTTTTGTTTTGTTTTTTGTCAATGTCCATTCATTTAAAATATAACTTTCATTAAGAGCGTACAATTTTTACAGGTCTAACAAAGAAACAACTAGAACTGGAATATCCCAAAAGACTGAAGAATCAGCGGCAAGAATCAGCTATGTTTATCAGTGAAGGAGAATTGACAGGAGTATGATTCTTATGGAACCAAGTTGTTTTGGATCTTCTCATGGAAGCACACAATTTGAAACTGACATCATAGACAAGACTAATATGATATCTTTTCAGATGATCGGCAACATGTTTATTAACCTCACAATTTTTATTTCTACTTTAAGATGTTACCTTATAAAAAAATTAAATATATATGTTGTAAATTGTAGAACCATTTATGCCCATGAACAAAAATGTTGCAATGGGCATGGAGGCTTTTTTTAAATAATAAATTATAAGTTTTAGGGATCAAATAGTTTTTTTTTTTAACATACTGGACTGTGAGTGATGGTTATCATTACTTGAAAACATTGATGATTCATGTATTTCTTAAATGGACATGTGTTCCACAATTGTATACATCTTTTGCATTTTAAGACATAAATTTACGTAAATTCCCTGATTTGCAACTTATTACTGATAGTCTATAATGATGTTAAAAAAATCCAACAAGCTTTTCTGTCTATTTAGTCTTTCCATTTCAACATTGAACAGTATTGTAATACATGTATTGTGAAGCAATTACCAATGAAGAACACTAAGTTAATTAAAATTGTACTTAAAATTCAATATCAATAAATTTGAATCATTATAGAATTTAAATTGTATTGAGTCATGAATAATCATGAAACTTGTGTTACTGTGTAATGTTGAAGATTTTCGAATTTCATAAAGGTTCATCATTGTTCATGAAGTATAAATTTTTTTCAGTATGAATGTGTTCATGAATTATATTCATGAACTACTTTAATGAAACTATTATGAATCTTTTATGAACATTCATGAACAATGATGAACAACTCATAAAAGTTCTTTAAGTCATGAATATCATCTCGCAGGGGTACTTTGTAAATCAATTTGTTGTGTTGATATTTTTCATCGTTTACAGCAGGTTTTCCATGTTTTGAAGACCTTAAAACATGATTATTTGCAAAGTGTAATATATATAAATTTTATTTAAAATATATGTGAAATGATGAAAACTATTTCCTGAATTGACTGTAAAATTTCTGTAATTTGTTGATAGACGTAGTGTTTTGAACATCAAATAGTATCAAGCATTTTTTTTCAACTTATTTTTTAGTAAAGGTAGTTAGAAAAACATCGGTAATTATGAAGCAGTTTTGTTGCACTCCTGACTGCAGTAAAGTTTAAAATTAAAACCATAGAACACAAAAATTCATAAAGTGTTGGCAACATCAAGTGGTAATGAAATTGTGCAATACTTATAGTCCGATACTTCATAATTAAAACAGATGAAAGTATTTAAAATTCGCATTTTATCTGGAATTATACCCTATTTTATGCCAAAAAAACTAGCTTAAATGTATATTTAGAAGATAAAATATATTTTAAAGCATATTTTCCTTTAGAGGACAAACACAGTAACCCACCAGAAAAATTCTACTCATCATTTTTTCTTTATTTTTATTCTTATTGGATGATTTATAATTCTAACATATTTGTTGCACTCCTGACCAAAAGCATTGGGGCCTTTAAAGTAGAACTGTGAAGTGAAAATTACATAAGAACTTGTTCTGTTGTTTCAGTGAAGTTGAGGAGGAATTACTTGAATTTAATGACAATGTTTTAGTGTGTTTATTTTTAACGTTCATTAAAAAAAATCACAAAAAAGATAAAAACACATCTGAATTGATAAAATTGAAAAAGAAAGAATTTTAATAATAAAACTATCAATAATTTAGCATTAAATTATACAAAAAGATCATTATTAATTAATGAATACCTCTAAGCATGAATAGAAGTCTTTTTGACACACAACTTGAATCTTTAAAAAAATGTGTTGCACTCCTGACCATAGAAATATGGATCTGAAGCACAGACAGATCCTGTAATTGATAAATCTATTTGGTAAAAATGTTCTTTGTGTCTTTATTTTCCAAAATAAAAATCAGAAAATCATATAATAATAATAGTTTTTTCATGCTTGGGAGCAAAACATCAAATGTTGCACTCCTGACATTTTTGGGTATGCACCTATACTTGACTCTCATTAATGCTGCTTGTGATTTATATAATATTTTTAAGTTTTAAAATGTATATCAGTTATTATTTTACACTTCAAAAATTCTTTTTTGTCTTAATTTTCTATCAGAATTTTACAATTGATGTTTTTTTGGCAACACTACATTTTTTCTGTTGCACTCCTGACATGGTATAACATTTTTTTAAACATCAGCCATGACCACAACTTGATTAAACAAAAGTTACGACAGTCCACATTTAAAGCTCAATACTTTGAATATTATCAGGAAAGTCTTTATTTTCAACATGAAGCATTGTTTTTTATTTCACAGATCTCCAAAAAATATTGAAATTTCAAAATGTCACAAAAAGGTGTTGCACTCCTGACAATTTTAGCATCATTTTTGGGCATAACTTTTTTGTTAATTGAGATATCAACGAGATATTTTGCAGGTATTTAGACACTATCTAAAGACATGCTGAGACATAGAAATCTGTTTTCATTGCTTGTATTTTTAGTGTGGGTTGACAAATATGCGTTTGGTCATTTTTTTTTAATTCACCCATGTGCTTCTTAGCCTTCTATCAAAATAGTAAAATTGCCCCCAAGGTCCAAGATCAGGGTCCCATTTTACAAAAGAACTTATGACTATGACCAAATCTTTAGCTGACTCTAAAATCCTTTCAGTTTTAATTTAATTATTTTATGAAAAATTACTTGCATATTATTTATTAAAATATATTTTTTCAAAATTCTTTTAGAAAAGATAAATACCATTTTCAAATTATTGTAAAGAAGATGGTTATTTGCAAAATTATATTTTGGTCTTGCGCTAAGCTTTTTTTTAGAATGGGACCCAGGCCCTAGGGTAGTGCAAAATTGGCCATGTAATTGAAAATTTATTATACAGTGTATAAGTAGTATGTACAATACTTAAAATTAATATATGCATGAGTATGTTAATGATCAAAGAATCCTTGAGAAACTACATTTTGAAATTATCACATGATTCCAGAGCTCCAGGTCCAGGTGTGATTGAGTTGGTCATAGCCTGAGAATATCAGGATATTCAGGTGACTGTAAAGTCCTGTTGGTCTTTTGTTTATGGTATGCTGCACAATGCATACAATTATTATTTTGGCAGTAAGAGAGACAACTCTTTTATTTTCTGCAGGTGCTGAATCCTCTAATGCCAGAAATGGCCGGCCTGTCAGGGCCATCAGACAGCACAGAACAGGTAAGATATATTAGCCAGGGGAGGGGAATAAAACCAAAAAAATATAGGCCAGGGGAAGGGAAATAGAACAAAGATGATAAGATATATGTCAGAGGAAGGGAAATATGAGGATATCAGTCAATGTGGTCAAAGGTGGAACAGAGTTAGGCATGGGTGTCCAGTTTGAGTTTAAAATAAAAATTCAATATCTAGAAAAATGAATTCAAAAAGTAAATATGAAATGTTACAAAATTAGACTGTACTTTAAGAGATTTAATAATTTCATGTCATATCAAATTGTCCTTACTTTTGTGTAGCAGCAGAATTCAGCACTAAAAAATGTCTAAAATGTCTAAAATTTAAATTTCGGAATAATGGAAAACCGAAAACTGCATGTACCAAGCAAATGTATAAACCAAGGTTTTCAGTGTGAAGCATTATAGCATATGGTAACCATTGTAGCAGGGCTTAGCTAGTTCACATGTGGCTTTTCAAAAAAGAATGAATTAAGCTATCCCATGTTAGGACTTGTAAAGATTCAAAGGAAGTAAAAAATGGATGAAGTCCTGCAGATAGGCCCCAGGGTCTCTTGTTCAGTAGAAATATGGGCTCAAGTTCATTGCATGATATTAAAGAATCAATATTAAAATAATAATGTGAGGGTACAGGAAAAAATCCTTATTGAACCCTGGCAATATTAATAAAATGAAGCTTTGAGGCTTAAATGAATGTACTGGTTAACAGTACTTATTGAGGGGTCTCAGTGCAGGTCAGGTGGGTGCCAGCATTAATATATAGGCACATATAATCAGTCGTAGCATTTGTTATTATGCATACCCTGCATCAGGGACCAGTCAATGAATAAGCAATCAAGTACATCTCTGAAAATGAACAGATTAAACATGCATGTTGAGATGTAAATTTGGATAATTGATCTCAAAAGTAAGATGTCAGACAAATGTGTATGATAAATCAAGCTGCAATCAGTCATATCAAATTGTCTGATTGGTAGGGAATTGTTTACATCATGTACTTGCATTTGTACAGGTTTATGTAGTACACATCCATGTAGGTATGTCAGGTGTGAGACTTCAATCTATGTGTTAAATCAGGCCTATCTTAAATAACAGCTGTGGTTGATGTGACAACTTGGAGGATGAGGCTATTAGATGTGTTAATCTGCAAATCCTATTGATCTCCCAGTCACGTTGACCATTTAAGCGACCACAGTATATTAATAAACATTTACATAGAATATTAGTAAAGACAGTGCATGTTAGTGCTTGTGAATATGTCAAGGAATTGGTCACTACTGTAAGTGCTGAGCTTGATTTGTTCAGATTTCAAGGTAGGCCATTATTAGGAAATTCTTGTTAAATGCTGTGCTAATCATTATCTGTTTGAATGAAAAACAGATTGGCCTCTATATTTTAACACTGACTGCATGATAAATTAGATAACAAGAAATTGATAGATCATTTGAATTCACAATGTTATAAAAATGCATGTGATTTTCAGTGCATATTTTTCTTAGAATCTGTCAATTTGTCTTATGAGAGTTCATCAAGTTCTGTAACATATGGTATTCAATGCTCATCAACATTCTATTAAAATTGTATATTAAATTTCAGGTGATATACTCAAAAAAAATTTTGCAAGTTGGAATTTTTCTTTTTGTTCTGGGAGAAAAGTAATCCTGGCATGTACCATTCTTTTATTATTTACATCCTGTAGCTTTTTAGCTCACCTGAGCCGCGGGAAGGCTCAAGTGAGCTTTTCTGATCAAAGACTGTTCGGCATCTTCTGTTGTCTGTAAACTTTTCATATTTTTGGACTTCTTCTCAAGAACCAATTGGCCAATTTCAACCAAACTTGCCACAAAGCATCCTTGGGTGATGAGGATTTAAGTTTGTTCACAAGAAGTGCCACACCCTCTCTCAAGGGGAGATAATGAAGAATTCGTGAAAATTTGGTGGCATCTTTTTAAAATCATCTTCTCAAGAGCCACTGGGCAAGAAAAGATTAAACTTATGTGAAAGCTTCATTTCATATTCTAGATTCAAATTTGTTCATATCAAATATATATATATAGGAAATATTTTTAAAAGTCTTCTCAAGAACAGCTAAGCTATTATTAGTCATGTTAATACAGAAACACCTCAGGTAGTGTAGATTCAAGTTTGTTCAAATCATGACCCCTGGGGGGTTGGGCACAGACACAATAGGGGGCCAACATTTTACATAGGATTAATATATAGGAATAATCTTTAAAAATTTTCTCAAGAACAGCTAAGCCATTATAAGTCATATTAAAATAGAAGCATCCTCAGGTAGTGTAGATTCAAGTTTTTTTAAATCATGACCCCCAGGGGTAGAATGGGGCCACAACAGTGGGTCAAATATTTACATAGGAATATATAGGAAATATCATTAAAAATCTTCCTCTCATGAACAACTAAGCATTTATTAGTACTTGTATATTTATACAGAAGCAACCTTGAAAACTTGTATAATCAAGTTTGTTTAAATTATGACCCCAGGGGTTGGGGGCACAACAGAGGGTCAAAGTTATACATAAGAATATATACTAATCATCTTGAAAAAATCTGCTGCTCAAGAACAGCAAAGCCATAATTAGTCATATTATTATAGAAGCATCCTCAGGTAGTGTAGATTCAAATTTGTTCAAATTTAGGATGGACCACAATGAGTGATTGGAGTTTTACATAGGAATACACAGGAAAAAATCATTTCAAATTCTTCTGCTCAAGAACAGGAAGCCGTGATTAATAATATTGATATGGAAGCATCCTGAGGTAGTGTAAATTCAAGTTTGTCCCGTTTCTCTCTCTCTCTCTCCCCCCCCCTCCTCCCCCTTTAAACTCTTCAATACTGAACTGATTTCTGCTTTTTCCTAGCCAGTGTGCTCAGGTGAGTGATGTGACCAATGGGCCTCTGGTTAGTTCACCTAAGCTTAAAGCTCAGGTGAGGTTTTCTGATCATCAGTTCTCTGGTGTCCATCTGTCCATCAGTCTGTAAAGTTTTCACATTTTAGACTTTTTGAAAACCATTGGCGCACTGGGCTAATTTTGACTAAAGTTATCACTAAGTATCAGTGGGTAAAGGGAACATCAATTTACCAAAATGAATGGCCAAACCCTCTTCCAAGGGGAGATAATCAAAAAAAGCAAAAATAGGCTGGAGACATTAAAAAAAATCTTCTAAAGAACCACTGGATCAGAATATAGATTAACTTGTAGGAAAGCTTCCATAGTTAGTGTAGATTCAGAATTATTCAAATCATTGCTTTCAAGAGTTGGGCTGGGCTACAATATAGGATCAAAGTTTGACATTTTAATAAAAAAGATTTTTTTAAAAATCTTATTTTCCCAAATGGCTGGACCTGAAAGAGGTGAAACTTCATGTATGAAAGCTTCCTGATATAATGTATATAGATTCTAAATTGTTCAAAGCATGGCCCAGTGACAGAGACAGGGTGGGGCCACCACTAGGTGATCAAATTTTTACATTGGAATGTATTGGACAAATCTTTAAAACATTTTGGTCAAGAACATCTAGACCTGAATAGATGAACCTTATGTGAATTTAAGCTTCCTTAATAATTTCTAAATTGTTAAAATCATGGTCCCTAAGGATAGGAGGGGAGCACAATAGGGGATCAAAGTTTTTACATTCCACTATAAGAAAAATTTTCAAAAATTTTGTCAAGAACCTCTATAGAACCATTAATATGCAAACATTTCAGAGTTTGTGGTATTGATGCATCTTCATGTTGTGTGCATTCAGAGACTCCTTAGCATTGGGTTGAAACCATAATATGGACTCAAAATTTTTCATGGGAAAATACAGAAGAATTTCTTTTTATATTACTCATGTTCAGGGATGTGCAATTAGCATCGCCCAATGCCCCGGGCTACCATTTTTTGGGTTCGGGCAAGTGGTTTTCTGCATGCAGGTAGCCCCTTGGGCTAGTAAAAATTAATAAATACCAATGTAATATATGAAAATCACTACTGGTATTTCCACTCATTTTTTGCTATTAAATTCCCAACCATGAAAAGTTTCCAGGCAGCATGCTCCAATTGTTCGTAAATCTCCATAATCTTATCCATTTTGCAGCACTCCCTTACCTTTTTACTTCCAAAAACGATCGTTTTTTTTCCCCCGAATTTCCTCTATCCATGTGTTTATGGTAAATAAAGGCAGATATCTCATTAAATTATTTACGATCACTCAATCAACTGAAAGATAAGTGTTATATGATTTACATAAAATATATTTGCAGTGTTTTTAATAATGTAAGATAAAAAAATGATTTCACTTTGTTTTAGATGAGCTAGTGCAATGCACAGAAAAAAAAGAAAAATAATTTATTTAAATTCATTTCTACTAGTGAGAATTAAAACAAATGACCTAAAAACTCTGACTTTTTAAACAATAATCTATTTTTTTCAATATTAGTTACTCTCTCTCTCCCCCCCCCCCCCCCTTTACATTTGGGCTAGTAACTTTTTACTTGGGGCTAGTAACTTTACTGCTGCCACTAGCCCGTGGGCTAGTACTTGATTTTTTTTAATTGCACACCCCTGCATGTTAGTATTGTGGCCAATGAGCCTCTTTTTAAAAATTCAGAAATGGCATTCTCATAATAAATGCATGTAGCTCAATGAATCACTTTATCTGGCATGGGAATCATAATTTCAGATACATTTATCATCATTATCTGGCTTCTCTGAAATGACTAAACCAATCTTAACCAAAGATTGCTAAATAAGTAGAGAAAAATGCCTATGGTTTGACAAATAAGAAAGACAAAAATCTTGAAAATATAGTAAACATTGATAATGTATACTTTAATTATGTAAATGTCCAGAATTTCAACAATATCACTAGTGAGATAATTTCTTCATGCTGTAACACAATTTTTCCTTATGAGTGGGGATCTTTGCTCTTAACACCCCTCCCCCCCCCCCCCCCCCCACCACCTTACCGTAACCAAA